AGAGTTTGTATACTCTCGGAAGATAACTTCCTCTAGCGCAAGGTGCTGTGTGACCCCGTCAAAGCAAAGACCTTTGGGTTGGCCATGAGCTGCAGCACAGCATCCCTAAAAACGTGAATTGCACGGCTATTACAAAACCAGCGCTTGCACCAGCCGTACCTGCTACCAGCATGCTGGCCATTAAAACCGGGTCCTGCAACGCCTGCACGTAGTATGAGCCTTGGTTCATGGCGGTCATCAGTGACGGCCCAAAGTGAACGCTCGAAAGTTATTCCAGAATCTCGGCATCTTCGTCACTGGCTCCAGCAGAGCTCTGAACCTCCAACACCTCTTCTTCATCAGATGCAGGCGGCGAACTAAGTCTGTGATAGCTTCCAAGGCGCTCTGTTCTTCTTCACGCTGCTTTGATAGTTCAAGCGCCTCCAGAAAACACTTCAAGGTATTGACGGAATCCTCCTCTTCTGCATGAAAAAGTAGCAGCTCTGGATTTTCGCCAACCTCCATCAACGCATCACAATAAGCTGCCCATCTTCTCTATCACCTGTGTCCTTTTGCTTTGACTGTAAGAAGTCAATTAACTTCTGATAAAACCCTCGCAGCTCGTGGTCACCCAATTGAGATTCGAGGACGTCTGGGTTCAAACTCATGTCTCGTAACACCGACACTATCTTCTCGTTTTGCTACATCAACTCGCGCATCGTGTCGTCATGCAAAATAGCGTTTACTACCTGTGCGTCGAGGCCACCATGCGTGCGGAGACAATGCGACTGGAGATTACTTGCTAGCTGATACACCGTTTTCTCTTCCTGGACCTTCGGCTTTTTCTTCAGCGCCAACTTCGAGCGAAGCTCGCCCTCGCGTCCATTATACTTCGTTAGCAGCTTCTTGACAGTGTTTTCCCTTTGGGGGCCATACCAAGCCAGTAGATCATTTGATAAACCCCGCCGTTCCCACTTTGTTGAAACATAGCGGCATCTCCACGTGATCATGAGAAACAACAATTGTTTTTTTGTCGCGGCATCAGCTTCTCGATCCCCGAGTAGCAACTCAAGTTTTTCCAGAAGGCTAACTGACTTGAACTGAACCATCGATGAAGAAGAAACACTTATCTCTGGATTCAGGCAGTCTTCGCTATATAGAAGATCGCTGAGCCAATTCAACAAGTTACTGTCATCACTAGCCACGCTGTCCAGAACGTAGGGTTCCCTCAACAGGCTGGTGTCTCTCGTTAGAACAGTGCTTTTCGAGATATCAATTACCGCGTATGATCACGGTGGATTCCTACAAATTTCCACTTGCCGAATCAGACGCTGTGCACGACACTGTTGTTCAACGAGATCCTTGAACACGACGGAAGGTTGTTTCTTGGAGTTGGGACGAATACAATGAAAGTAGAACGGCATGTTCTTGTCATCATGGCTTGATGGCATTAACGTGAGAGCGAAACTGCCCAACCTCCAGGTAGTCGAGACTCTGCTGAACTAAACGTGCTGCTGTTTGTGTTTGAAGGTCTACCCACTTGATTGCTTTCCGCAAGCATTCGACAGAAATGAGGATTAGTCGACGCCTCGAGCCCCCCGCACACCAGGCTTGAGTAGACACACGCTCGAATTTTTTCTCCCGAAATTAAGCTTTCCAGGGTTTTACGGGTATATAAAAGGGTAATTTTTCGCCCAATACATTAATTGGAGATTTTCCTTTTTTTAAGGGCGCGGAGGCGGTTTCGGTATAATTCGAAAACGAATGGCGTTTTTATAGGATTTTGCGTACAAACAATCTGTTCCGTTTTTCCTCTTGCTGCGCGTTCACGTTTTCGCTTTGGTGAAGAATAGTCAGCTCCTCAGGCGAAGCGAAAATTCCAAGAGGATGCTCATAAAAAAAGGACGTCTGTGTCCTTGTCACGGACAGACGAATACGGTCGGTTATTGTAGGCAGCTGTAACCACTTGTTCTTCCCTATCCAGTGAGTTATGCGAGAGGTCTTCAAAGCCAAATACGTCGACAATCTTCAGCAGTGAAATGTCTGGTGGGATAATCGGGTTGGAGTCCACACGAAGCTCATTCCTATCAGTGCATGAACCACTAATTTTTGTTGCTTGGTTCCTAGCGGTAACGATGTACTTGAACGGGAGCTGGTATAACAAACGTACGAGTGTGTCTCGAACATGCTTTACCTGACCCTGCTCCAGAGTCACCTCGAATGCTTCACTCGTCCATTGCAAACTTACACTTCTTGTCATCATCATTCGTTTCAATTTCTCCACTGATCCCAACTCTAAAAGTTCCACCACTCTTTGAGGTGCATTAGGCACCCCGTCCATGTAGAAGACATCAAAAGCTTCCCCGATGTCTCAGGATAGTCAAGCTCAATATTTCCGAGCCACAGAACAGCACTTAGCACGTTAAAAATTGCCTTTCTGCTCGTCTGGGGATACGTCTAGCCCATCAATAATCTGCTGCCATCTTTCCACATCCTTTTTCCACGTTTCCTCTTTGCTCATTTGCTCTGCCAGCTTGTGGTCGCTGCGACCGAGATAAGTAAACGCGAAGCACTTTACACCATCGAAATGCAACTCCTTCGCTAGGAAGGAGCTGAAGCCCAGCACATTTTGCAGGTATTGCGGGATAAAGAAAAACAGCGAGAAATTGCCGCATAAAAACAGAAATCTTCCGAGATAGGCGCCGGACCGCTGGCGGTTGGCGAATAAGCGCAGCGGAACGATAGGTTCCTTGGCTCTTCTTTCTATTCCAATAAACAAGGTTAGCAGAACGGCAGCGGCAGCAAAGGAACCAGCGTT